AAGGCAGATATTTTGACTTAAATGCTGTTAGAGTTAGCATTAACCGTCATATTATCTTCACCAAGAAATCTAGTCCAATGATGAGACTGGTATCAGTCATCTATGATTCTGAAAGATCCTTGAGTTTTTTCCTCACTCTTTGGTTTCATATGATAATGCAGAATAGAGAAGGAGAAAAGCTGATGGAAGAGAAACAAGTACCCTGGCACTGAGCACAGAAACAGAAACCCTGGCACTTTAGCAATTAGAAAAGAGTAACAGTGTCATAGAAATCGCTTTTCAGTTGGCCTTATGCAAGCCTTTCACTTAACACAGGGAGGTCACACAGAAAAGTGCTAGAATACTATTAATAGAACCCAGGTCTTCTGTTCTCTGGTCCAGTATTCTTACTCCAGTAGTCTCGCTTAAACATTGGGAGACTAAACACTTACAAAAATCTAGTCTTCTAACTTTTCTAAAAGAAGGAAGAAGGTGGGAGAGAAGGAGAAAGAAGGGGAGAAGGGGAAGGAGGAAGAAAGAAAAAGAAAAGATCTGAGTTTATACTCCCATGTTACAATAGTGGGTAAAGGGTTAAAATTCTTCCTCTCTATGGACAACTTTCTCTTGGGTTAACTTTCTGGCTTTGTTACCCTGGAAACCTGGTAAGGTGAAATGTCAGCCACATAAGCAGGCTATGTTGTTATGATAAGAATGACCCGGGATTGGTAAGCTGAATCTGGCTGGAAGGACTGCAAATGAACACATCTGATGAGAAGTTATTGGGTTGGGCTTCCCTGAGTGTGGTGACACATAGTGAGGAGGCTTGACCCTCCTCCTGGGGATTTTGGAAGCTGTGCCTATAGGAACCTTACAAGAGATCTTGGTTCCTATTTAAGACATAGACCTTCTAAATCAGGATACTCTACACTTAGCTACAGAAGTTTAACTTCTTTGCTCTTGAAATAACACTTGGGAAAAGAGAAAATTACAAAAAAAAAAAAAGTCCCTAGATTGCTATTTGGACTGTTCCAGGGACTCCCATTGAAGACCAAGGCCTGGCACTGCTCTGTTGGAATACACTGTGTTCTGTCTCTAAGTGAATCAGATGTCAAGTGTAACCCATGGAAATCAAGTCAGTTTGATTGTCTAGTTGAGGCTAAGAGCACCCCCTTGGGTGCACTGTAGCAACAATGCCCTGCCCCTTATTGATGAGATGTGTACTCTCTACTTCCTCAGGGTCTTCCCATCCCCTATTATCTTACATCTGGCTCACTCCAATTCAACTGCAGTGTAGTCCTTGAAAATTTAAAAGCCCTGTTCTAAATTCCAGGTAGGGTAAGTTATTTCTACAGTAACTTGACAAGGAACCTATCAAGACAGGTAATAAACCCCTCAATATTTATGAGCTTTAGAAGTACAAAAATCATTCACCAACAGTGATTCCCACTTTGTCTTTTTTTTTTTTTGATAAAAGCAAAAAACTTGCCATTCTGACCTAGTGGGCTTCCAATTTTCTCTTTCCTGCCCTCAGTTTTTATCTGCATCTAAGGTATATTAACAAACAATCCAGCCAGAATCTTAAAGGCACTTGTGATTTACTTCAGAGAACTCTTTTTTAAAGCAATTTCTTGGAAAATGGATTTTGAAAACACCTTTAGCTATTATATCATACTGCAATTCCTTTGTAGATTTGGAAAAAATAATGTTTTCAAAATAAGTGGGCTCTATTTCCAAGGATTTGACATAACAATTAGGACTGTATCTCTTAAATAAAAATTGAAGGTGTATGTCAAGATACTTTCTTAAACTGGTTACAGGCTGTCACCAAGCTAGAGGAAGGAGGCCATTAGCACGACATTCATCATTCAGTATTTCCGGGAACTTCATTTGAGAGAATAATCTACTTGCTTTAGTTTTCATGAACCCCCTATGAGTTACAGATGCCAGATGTCTTTTCTCTGGCTGTCTCTCTGATGACAGGCCTAGTGGCACATAAAAGCAAAAACGGTCGGTGTTGGGGAGGAAACTCACAGCTTACGGCAGGACAGTCCATTATTAATGGAGAAAGTCATAGAGTAGTTAATGTACGGATGTCAGACTTTCCAACTTTCATACAGTCCCCTTGGGAAGTGGTGCTGACAGATGTGTTGAAGGCAGAACTGCAAGCAGAGCAGATAGTCAGCAGGGGATCATTAGTTTGCTTCAAGAGCTGGGGCTCCTGGGTGATTAAGAGGTAACAGCTTACAAGAGCCATGCATAAATTACACATCCCAGGGTCAACACCCAAAATGCTTCTTAATTTTTTTTTTTTTTTTTAACAAGCCATAGGGTCTGAATGGCAAATATATTCTATGAGTCTGTCAACAGAAACTCTTAAAACTTTAATATTTCTCTAATCTATGCTCTATAAAAGCAAATTGATTCTACAATTAATTTATCCTGGAATGTTTCCCAGCTTCTATTGGAATAGGAATATGGTAGACTACATGTGAAAGGGTGACCAGAAGAGCCTTTGGTCTTACTCAATAACTCACTTTAAAGATAGCTGTATACAGAAAAGATGAGAGTTTTTAAAGCTAGGATTACAGAGGATTAATTTTAGTCTTACCCAGTTTTATCTTTTAATGGGTGCCTTCATTCTCATTCTTTAAATTTCAGTATAGCCACATGAAAGCTTATGTACTTTAAGCTTTATGGATCTACTTTGATATTCAAACCAGAGAGGTCACATGTGGTACTTAACAGTGGGACACCTTCCATGTGGTTTCTTGAATGAAATTGCTCATGGTCACAAAACTGACAGAACAGCATTCTCTGTCTTCCTGTAACACACTTAGTCCTGAACCTCTGCATTTAATTCAGACTCGATTCTTAATTGTTTATGAGCTATCTGGAATGCTAGCACATGATGAGATGACTTATAATAATTGCATTTTTCCTGTTAAAGATTGCTGCTGGGTACATGGGACTTTGTTGAAAATAAAAGGAGAAAGTCTACCAGTGGGAAGCAAATTTGGTATGGTATCTGCTACCAACTAAAACATGACCTATTTCAGATCACAGCCACTTGCCGGCTGTGGAACACTGACTCTCCATCTTCCCTCTACATTTCACTGGCTGGTTTTTAGTGGCAAACAGCACATTTTCCCAGTTGAGATAAGTATGGAAATGAAAATAGAAGCTGTGTCAACTTGAATTTAAAGTTTTGTAACCTGAAAATGAACTAGCCCTCTTAGCATAATGCACTCCCCCTCAAGCAATTTTCTTAACTAGGCTACAGTGCCATTTGGGAACGGGGGTGTTTATATGTATATTTTCTCATTCCCTGCAGAAAGCCAAGTAGTCAGAGGATCGCTGTGTGCAGATTTAATGCACATCACTGCACACTTGCCCCAGTAACACCGTGAGGGCCTGCCACTGGAGATTCAGAACAGCTCCAGGCAGGAGCAAAGCGGATTACTGCCAATCCAGGCATTTTTAGTGATACCCGTCTCTCCAGGCAGGAAAGCAAGGACAGCTATTTTAACTTGAGTATCTGGAATGATTTTCAAATGAAAAAAGAAGTAATAAAAGAACTATATGGTTTGCAGGAGACCAATGTGTCCATGCATTGTGGAAACTCCTCCACATAATGCAAACATCTTCCTCCCCAAAAGGCCAGTACAAAAAATGCCTTTTTTGGAAAAAGAGGTAATTAACAACAGAGAACCATGTAAGATCTGAACTGGAAGCCACCTTAGAAATCACTAAATTCAACCATAGAAACCATTCTTTTAACATTTTTGTTACATATATTTTCTAACATATTACGAATAACAAAAGTAGAAATCATGGTATAATGAACCTTCATGTATCATCACCCAATAATTAAAAACCTTGTTTCATTCTTATTTGTCTCTACATCCTCTGTTAAATATAATATTGGCTGTCATTAAGCAGATCATAGAAGTATCTTTTTTATTATTATACTTTAAGTTTTGGGATACATGTGCAGAACATGCAGGTTTGTTACATAGAGTGTACATGTGCCATGGTGGTGTGCTGCACCCATCAACCCATCATCTACATTAGGTATTTCTCCTAATGCTATCCCTCCCCCAGGCCCCACCCTAGAAGTATCTTTTTACCCTTCATTATGTTTTTATTTTTTAATTTTGTTTTTGTATTTTTAATCTGTAATATGGTATATTTTGAGCAAATACTTATTTTGGCTTACTTTGAGTTACCTGTACTTTTAAAACTTCTATCTCATTTTATATACATATCCTAAAGTGTTTATTCATGAATTGTTGAGTAATGCCGTAGTTACTTAATATCTCAGGTATTTTTCTCATCCATAAAAGGGGAATACATAATACCTATATCAGGTTTTTGTAAGGGGTAAATGAGTTAATATATGTAAAGCTTTTAAAATAGTGCCTACATGTATTACTCACTCTATAAGTGTTACCAACATTCATAAATAAGAGAGAGGCATTCCCTTTTTGCTGTCTTTGTCAAGTTGTAGTGCCAGGATTATTCTCATTTCATAAAATAAACTGGTAGCTTTTCATCTTGTCTTTGCTGTGCCACAAATTATGTGGCAAAAGAATTACATTGAAACTTTAAAATATTTTCTTTATAAAATGTATAGACCAGAGAACTTGGAGAAAGTAATTCTTGACAACTTTCGATTCCTTCCATAATAATTGGTATGTTCATATCTTCTACATTTTCTTGGTTCAATTTTGTTATTTATATATTCTTAATAGATTATTCATTTCATCCGGATGTTTAAATGATCAAAGAGTTGTATGTAGTTTTTTAAATGATTTTAAATATTTTATACAAAATTATGTGCTCTTTTTCATTTATCATTTTGCATATTTGTATTTCTCTAATTTGTTCTTGATTAGATTTGGAGAGAAATATTTCATATTTTTTTTCCATCTCTCTCAAAGCTCCTCTTGGATGTCTCTCTATATGCTGTTTTCTAATTCACTAATTTTGAGTTTTATCTTCTTTCTTTCCATTTCCCTTAGGTTTGTGGCATGTTCCTTTGAATTCCATGAGGTGAATACTTAAGGTACTGATTTTGATTTCCAGGATTCCTCACATAACAAATTTAAGGTTATTGATTTGTTTCAGGGTATACTTTTCATAAATTGTACAAGCAAATATATGTTTGTTCTCATTTTTTTCACTTTAGAAAAATATATTAATATGGGTTTTATCTTTTCTTTGAGTAGATATCAGAAATGTGATTTGAAATTTGCATGGGTTGATTTTTTAAAAATTTGTGGTGTTGTATAAAACTACCTATAACTAATTTCTTATTACTTGCATTATGGCGGAAAATAAGGCCTGGCCTATATAATTTCAATTTTGTTTAAATTTTTTTTGGTTGAACATGTAAATAATTGAAATAGGAATTATGGAAGTGCTTAGAAAGAAAATACATAAATATGTATGTTTACATTAAGAAAGGCCAATCATTATTACATTATTCAAATTCTTTATATCCTTATTTTTATTTACTTGACTTATCAAGTTAGATAACAAATATGCATTAGTAATTTTTCTTTGTATTCCCAAACTTTTAGCTTTATATATTATGACTATGTTTCATGGTGTTTAAAATAATGTAAATGGAATGTCTTCATTGTGGTTTGTGTATTTTAATAATAAAAATTGCCTTTATTGGCTGGGCGCGGTGCCTCACGCCTGTAATCCCAGCACTTTGGGAGACCGAGACGGGCGGATCACGAGGTCAGGAGATGGAGACTATCCTGGCTAACACGGTGAAACCCTTCCCCTACTAAAAATACAAAAAAAATAGCTGGGCATGGTGGCAGGTGCCTGTAGTCCCAGTTACTTGAGAGGCTGAGGCAGGAGAATGGCATGAACCCGGGAGGCGGAGCTTGTAGTGAGAGGAGATCGTGCCACTGCACTCCAGCCTGGGTGACAGAGCGACACTCCGTCTCAAAAAAAAAAAAAAAAAAAAAAAATTGCCTTTATCTAATTTAATGCTTTTGTATTTGAATAATGCTTGGTCTAAAACTAATAATTCTGCCCTCATTTATTTTTCTTTTTAAAATCTGTTTTGTTAGTAGGCTAGGTATTTTGTGTCGTTGTATTTTGTTTAGATCGTAAAGATTTTTAACTCAATCTGAGGCTCTTATGTTTAAAGTAAGTTGCATTTCTTTATATTTCATGATAAGCTATATACACTCATATGTCATATTTCTATACTTTTCTTCATATATGCTTTTTTGCTCATCTTTAGAGTCTCTGGTTAAACAGATTACAGCTTCTTTGTTGTTGTTGTAGTTTGTTTGTTTGTTTGTTTGTTTGTTTTCTGAGATGGAGTCTCACTATGTTGACCATGCTGGAGTACAGTGGCGTGATCCTGGCTCACTGCAAACTTCGCATTCTGGGTTCAAGCAATTCTCCTGCCTCAAGCATCCCAAGTGGCTGGGATTACAGGCATGCACTACCATGCCCAGCTAACTTTTTAAAATCTTTAGTAGAGATGGGGTTTCACCATGTTGGCCCGCTGGTTTGAAACTCCTGACCTCAAGTGATCTGCCTGCCTCGGCATCCCAAAGTGCTGGGATTACAGGCGTGAGCCACCATGCCTGGCCACAACTTCTTTGATTTTATTGTCTCTAGCAACTTAGATGGTACATATCCCATTTTTATTTATTAGATCTATGTTTTATTTATTTTTAAAACAAATTTTGTGATATGTTTTTAATTATTATTTTGTATTTATCTTTTTTTGAGACGAAGTCTCACTCTGTTGCCCAGGCTGGAGTGCAGTGGCGATCTCAGCTCACAGCAACCTTCGCTTCCCGTGATCAAGTGATTGTCCTGCCTCAGCCTCCCGAATAGCTGGGACTACAGGTGCCCACCACCATGACCAGCTAATTTTTTGTATTTTTCTTTTTAGTAAGATGGGGTTTCACTGTGTTAGCCAGGATGGTCTCGATTTCCTGACCTCAAGTGATCTGCCCGCCTCAGCCTCCCAAAGTGTTGAGATTATAGGTGTGAGCCACCTTGCCCAGCCCAATTATTTATATTTAGCAAATTTATGTGTCATACATAAATACAAGAGAATATATGGGCTACTACGAGCACAGGTCCTATGCTGAAACCAAGTAAAGTTATGTCATTGGAAACATTTTTAAAAAATTTTCCAAATCCTGTGACTATATCTCTGGAACTGTGTATAGCACCATGTATAAAACACCAAGTGTTTTCCTGGCAGCTCCCAGTAAACATCCTTTCTTCTTTAATTTTTAAAATAAAAAATACCATAATATTTTTTACTCCCTCTCAAACATGAGAAAGTACAATATGTTTTTACTAGTAAAAGGATGATGAACTCACATGGAATGGTATGTGATGATATTAAACAATAAAATAATATGTATACACTGATGATCTATCTTTACCAATTACATTGATTACATATGGATTGGAACTTTACTATCTAATTTTTGTATTTATGAAGCTTTCTGATTATTATACTGATTATTCATTTTATGTTCTTTATAAAAACTTATGTAGTTAGTCATGCTTATCACTAATTCAATTTTCTACAGTGTTCATTTGGCTTTTTACTGAGTCTGCATTGCAGATTTTAATATTGCCATTTCTCATCATTGCCAGTTCCCTTCAAACTTCAATCTGCATTGGCAGCAGCTCTCTTTTAACACTGGCATCTTTGTTTCATAGAATCCATGTTTTCTTGTACTTGACGGAAAGCACAATGGAGATGCATCCATTAATTTTCTTAAGGCATTCCTTCCACACGCATTTTCACTCTGTTTTGTTTTGCTTTGCCTCCCTAGGCAATGTCTGATATTTCCCCTCCTTCCTGATCACTAAATATTTTTTTTTTTTATCACTAAGTATTTTCTCAAGTCATCATGATAGTGTAGATTTTTTATTTTATTATTTATTTATATAGTGTAGATATTTTATTTTTTATTTAACTCTATGACTCTAACACATTGGTTGTAATTCTATCCAAGCCTTGGTTTCACTAGCTAAGAATGGGTGCATCCCTCTATTTCTATAAATTGACTGCATGGGGCTCCCAGAATCTCAATTTTTAAAACTTAAGTTTAAGGCAATTTGATAACCATTTTCTATTTCCAACTTACTGGTGTCTGGCTATCATTGATTTCATAAAATTTTGAGGAACAAAAATGGAGCTTTCTATTGCTTCAGTCACCACTTTCACAGTAAACTACACCACCTTTCCCCATATCCATACCCATGTGCCATGTTGGCTCCTTTTGACAACCTCCCCACTCTAGACTTATATACAGCTGTTCTGTCTATAATACTCCTCCTTTCCTTCTACTCTCTTGTCCTTCAGATCTAAGCCTCAGAACCAGTACTTCAAGGAAGCCTTCTCTGACTCCCCAGTCCACATCATGTCCTTCTATTTTACATGGTCACTGAACCCTGTTTCCCTTTCCCTTACCCCCACCTCACAACCAAAAGCACACATCTCAGTATGATTTCATTACCTTGCTCCTCCCCAGCAGACCTGTAGGCTACATGGCAGGAGAAAACATTTTGTTTTTGCTCACTCCTATATCTTCCCTGTCTATAACAAGGCCTGGTATCTGAAAGGTTCTGCCAAAATCTCATACTTTTACTTTTTAAAAGAAATCTTATTCCTTTAACCTTGAAATCCTAATTTACATAATCCATTAGAACCCAATCATAAATCTCATTCATCACAACTGTGTCCATTGAAGTAAACTGGAGTTTAGAAGGAGTGCTGGCTTGCAGAGACAGTGAACAAATTCCCAAGGTAGCAAGAGAGGAAGGTACATGAATGTCTTTCTTATATTTGGGTACTAATTTTAGAGAGATGTCATAGCTAACTCATTTTGCAGTAAGTGGAAAAGGAAGAAATATAATCCTTAAATCAGCCACCTTTTGTTTTTAAAAGCCCTTTTATCTTTCCAAAAAGCAAACTCTGGTCTGTGTGAAATGATAAGAACTGGGCTTCAAACACTTAAAACTGAAGCATCTTGGCATTTCCCAGGTGTTCCCTAGTATATGTGCTGATTTGAGGGAATGTGGGGAAGTGTACATTCCACACTACTTCACAAAGTAGAGATTCTTTGGATATTTCTGAAATGCTACGTTATCAACTGCAACTGTCATTCCAGCTGTGCCTGCCATATGGATTTATGAAGTCCTGTGGAGTGTTTTTATGACACAACTCCTTTCCAGGGGTTAATTGTGACAGTGAAGATAGTGATAATGTGTTAACCTGCACCAGATGATGGGAGAAAAAGAGGGTGTGTTTCGGCTGGAGATGGGAAGAGCTCTCTTGGCTTGGTACAAAGTGGCTGCCCATTCTTTTGTTAGCAGCACCACCTACTTAAGATATCATGAACATTCTCTCAGCCTCTGAATTAAACATTAAACATTTCTTTGAGTTCATAATGCCGGCAGAGTTGGTCTCTCTGTAAAACTATTATGCTTCATTTGGAACTTTGTGTTTATTCTACATATCTGCAAATGTCAAAATCATTAGTGGATATGGAGAACTCCAATCAGCTTGATTGATTTGAAAAGTTTTTTATCCATATTGTTTGTCATTGATTAATATACAGCTACTCCAGTAAATCATTTCCTCTTAAATCAGTATTTTGATATTACATAGAATCAAAAGTTTTAATCCTACCCTCAGACAAAATGCCATGATTTATTCCTTTGTGTGTGAAAGTGAACTTCACTTGCCTAAATGTATAGTTTTCTCTGGTCTTCAATTAGGCTTTTTCCAGTTATTTTGTTCCTAATGTCTGAAAACCAAACTGAGTATGTTAAAACATATATCAGAAAAATTAACAGCTTTTTATTTAAGCCTAAGACTCCTCGGTTCAAAGTTACCAACAGTGGTAAATATTCCATTTCTGAGCCTTCAATTTCTGAGCTCCTAACCAGGGTCTATTTCCAAATTTCCAGGACTCAGTCAGCATTTCCTCATTCTATGTACTGCATCATTATCCTGCTTAATTCAATGTAACATCATGATGCACTGACCTGACAAAA